TAGCGGTTGTCATCGTGTTCAATAAATAAGGAAATTGGATTACAGTGAACCGTGAGAAAATGAGCGCTTCAGGTGAGTTATCACGCAATCACTGACTATGTCGGCATGGCCTTCTACCGCTACAAAAATAAATAACAAACTATTGATGACAGGAAAGTGTAAAACGTCAACCAATTAGTTAGGGTTACAACCTCATTTTTGTACTTCAAATGATAATTGTTTACGCGTGGAAATCATTTCAGTGGACATGTTCACGTTTGTTGTTTGTATTTAGCGTGCTTGATTCCCTAGAGATGATGCCATTGGTTTAAACGCCATCCCATTCCATTTTGATTCGTTTCCGAAAAAAGGTGACCATCCCATAACTGACAGAAGTAAAACATAGTTTTCGCCAGCGTTTAACATATTTTCGTCAGCCAGTCTATCAGCATTTATTCATGGTCGGTGTACTGTCTCGCGTTCTAAACCAGCTGATTGCACGAAAAACATAGGAGTAAATTTAACTGGAGATTAACTAGTGTTTGTAAATTAATGGCACCCGGCCAAAGTAAAATTCTCCTATCTTTCTATCTATATAGCAAATCCTTTGTTTTTTTCAGCCTAAAGCAACAGTAGTTAAATTAAGTTTATTTTTATTTTTCGCACGATGACTATTTAGATGACTAACAAGATAATGGATGGAATGGCTACGGAAGGCGCGCGGGGGAGGACAGAGGTTAAAATTTATCAACAGAATGTAAAGAAAACTTACTACTGTCTAAATCCAAATAGGACAATTTGTGGAAACTTTCAAGAAATGTAAATAAAAATGTGCATCTAAGTTTAGCTTGAACAAAATTCACGACGAAGAGAAGAATAACATTCAAGAGTGCTTTTAATTAAGAGTCCAAACTAGTATTTGCTTTACTATTCAGGGGATTTATTTGGATAAAACAACAGATTACCGCTTGATTCGAATTGCTTTGATTTATAATTTGAATTCAAGTCTAAATCAACCGCCTGAACACTTTATTGGCATTCAAAAGAGGAACAAAATTGAGCCTGTTTAAAAAACGATACACATTTGAATAAAATGTCAACATGCATCAACCATCAATCGTCTTCATAGTTTTAGTTTTTGTTTTAAAAACATTCCAGAAATCTGAAAAACGCGTAAATCGTTGTTTTTTTTTTTCATTAAATAATCAACCTTTCTCATTTTCTGCAGAGCGTGTTTATTTAAAATTAGGGAATCTATTTGAGGAGTAATCCAGATTTCTGCCAAAGAAATAGTACTGATAACAAATTCCGGCAGAATCTTTTACAGTTCGTTTCATATTTCGTTCAAAATCCTCGTGTGAATTTAGGTTTTAAAGGTGACTGATGCAATTGCTAAAAACAGTAAGTAATGTGTTCATGATAATGAAATTGGCACTCAAATCTTTGCCAAATGCAAGGTAGAGAGAAAAGAATTCATCGCTGAAATTAAATTAGCTACTTATAATTGGGTTTTATTAATGTCAGTGATATGTATCCAGTGTTTTAAAGTCATTCCTTTTCGTTCTGCTATGATAAAAGAGCATGTTTTGTGCCAAGAAGACTAACATCAATTGAAAATAGGATTTAAGGATCATTTTTAGTCACTAATTTTTAACTTGAGAGCCTTTTACCTTCTCTACGTGTGTCTATGTTTCCTGAAGGGAGATTGAAATAGCGCAAGACATGTCTACCTGTGTGTGCTGATGAGCCTCTTGCATATATATATATAGCGTGCTATCATTTGGTGTATCTCTTTCAAAGACAAGATAAACGACTTTTTAGAGGAACAGAAAAGCACAAGGATCTACAAGCAAACAGTCGTCGCACGGTGAAGACGATTTTAACGAGATCAAAAGTCTGAAAGGACGACAGCGAAAAAACTAGACTTGCAAACATTTCTAAAAAACTGCAGCCTCATTGTCTGAGCTGCGTCTGATAATCACATCATTAACACGAACGGAAATTTGAAAAAAATAAAGGACAAAGGTTAAACTTGGAAGTGAACTTAGAGGGATTTTTTCTATTTTTTCGTTTTTATTGTCTCCCCTTACTTCTAAACCCAAATCATCTCTGACAAATTCTAGGAACAATCCAGTTGATGATGATATACCTAATCGGGAAATCTTTGTCTGGGAGACTCGTCAAGGGAAGTTCGAATTTTTCCCTAAACGCTTTGAAATTGTGTTGTCAAAACAGTAATAACGCTTTTCCCTATGTATTTCCTGGGCAAGTTACTATCCTTAAATATTGGCACGTAAGTTTGAACGCAAAAAAAAAAAAAAAACACCTGTCACATTTTTCCATCTGCACTGCCAAAAAAAACTTATCAAGAACAAAACCCTGTCAAGAAGAACTTGGTCGCGTAATTTTCAGCTTTATTAGCCCCTGTTCAGATTTCAAGGGAACGTGCGGTGTATAATTTCTCGCCACGCCTATGGATGGTTACGTCAAACCGTGATCTTGACCCACGATGGCCGCGTTAATAAGACATGCTTTCACTCCTGTTGACGGCTTCCCTCTTTGTCTTCAAGAATTAACTGATTAACTTCAACCAGTAACTGATAGTATCCGATGAAGTCACCTCCAACAGGAAAGGGAACGCGACAAATCAATGCAGACAACGCATTAAACATGACTGCTAAAGAATTTTTTTTTAACTTTTCAAAAAATAGAGCCATAACTTAAAATAATTTAAGTCAGATTTAAGTCTTTTTCTGGATTTCACGAGTAAAAGGCTTTCCTTTAAAAAGAAATTTCATACCTAGCGGATAATTAAAAATACACCAACAGTAAACAGAATGAGAAAGATAAATACTTTGAACTCGATCAGCGAGTGCGTTCATTGTGGGATAAAGAGCTGAAAATCAAAGTCGCCCAGTGGATTCGATCGCGACTGGCAGATTTTCGCGGTGCAGCTCTACCACTGGGTCACAGGGGACTTGCAAATTAACTATACTCCCAGACACATTCTCAATGTTAGTCTGCAAGATGGTAGAGACACGTTAGGAAAATTAAAAACATATGTGAGGAGAGAAGGGCAAAAGGACGTCATAGATGTTGTCCCCCGAGAAGTGTGCCAACTAATTATGTCTGGAAATGAAGGTCATATACTTGATTCATGAGTGATAAGCGCCCTGAATTTTAAAACGTTGGGACCAATTAAATACAGTTTACAGTCTGGACTTTAATCAGTCGGAAGATGTTGGAAAATTTTGAGTTGGGTCAACAATCACAGAAAGCCAGGCTGTTATTGACTTGGCGTGTTTTCTCTTGTGTGTGAAAACCCCTGGAGCCTGCTAAGGAAGAAAACAAATCACTCCTAAAATTCAAGTTCTTTCTACCAATTCAAAATGCGACTGGATGATAATTTTCTTAGACTGTAATCCATGTAATCCCATGAATTCCACCGCAAACATAACCGCCGTTCCCCATGACTATTAGAGTCTATCCCATACCACTGTCCCCACAAAGCTTCCAAGTCTTCGTGAAAAATCTTTCATAAACCACGAAACATTCAACCTTTCCTCCCTCTAATGGAAGAACTGGCTTTCTAACTCGAAATGGGACATGAATCACAAAAACAACTTGAAGAAACTCTGGGATGAGACATCAAAAAACAAAAAGGAAGAATCAGCTTTGGCTAAGAGTTCTTAGTATTTAAGCAATAAATCGCATCGAAAGATCAAGTATAAGCCATCTCAGACATTTAATGTAGCTCGAGGTGATCGCGTTTTGAAATTTCTTGTAGGAATCTTCACTAACGAGTTATTAAAAAGCCAAAAATACTTTCTGGCTAACGACTTGAAAAAGAAGCATTCGACACTCGATAGGGGTTACTCTGAAGAATTTTTTAGTTGCTCGCCCAAGGGTAGTGAGAGCAACGGGATCTTTTATGATCATGATGAATAAGGAATTTCAAGCGCTCTACACCTTCATCACTCGTCAGGTCTTTGAGCTCTTCATTAATCGTCTCTGTCATGCTGTGAAATGTATCATGACTATTCCAAAACCATATATCATCTCGTATTAAAATTTTTAACCTTGTTAGTGGATCAAAAGTCTCAAAGAACTCCGCAAGCGGTACAGTATGGCATACAAGAACGCTAGAAGGAACTTACTTTACATCTTTTAGGACATCTTCCACGGACTCTTTTGTAAGGGCTTAAAAACTGATGAACTTAATATTGTTTTGAGGTTCAGGAAATAAAAATCGTTTACTCTACGCTTCGGCAAGAAACATTTGCCCCTGTGACAATCATTAATCAATGTATAAGGAAGAGTTAACTAAGAAGTTTGCGGGCTTGCGATAACATTCCTCTGCTAAGATAATCTCTAAAAACGGCTCAAACCTGCACATTTTTTTCCCTTTGCAGAATTTTTCTTAAAGTTCTAATCCGTTAGGAGATAAAATTTTGAGGCGACAAGCATTCTTCCTGATCTTTACAAGTGCGAGCACGTTGTTAGACATTCGGAAAAATCCGCTAGAGACATGGAAAACATATCCAATAATGCTGGTGGAAATCTTCAGGATACGGCCAACATCTAGAAATTAATAGCAAACGGTTTTGATCGATGAACAATTGAGTGGATAAACACCTGAGATCGCCAGGGCATTCATTCGAGATAAACTCTATAGTGACGGTTGTTTTCTGGTTGTTTGTATATCGCAAGTAAAAAAAGGTCAAGAGGTCTCATTTCTAGCAGTAACAAGAAAGATTCGAAGGGTGCAGCGGAAAAGCCCCCAAAAAACACTTTGAAGTGTCAAAAAAGTTCGCCTCTCTTTCATTCCATTCGATCTGATACACGTATACCTTCGCAAAGGGCGTGAGGTTACAATAACATTGATTTCAATCTTTATCTCATAAACGTTAAAATGACTCAATTTTCCGGCTATGAAGTTCAACAGCGTCGCGGTCAAAACAAAGTATTGTCAGCTAACCTGCTTAGGATCGCGTGAAATTTACGAATTGACGCCAAAAAAACGGGTCACCTGATCCGCCGATTGACTGACCACAGTATAAGTTTCGCTGAAATGTCTACACTTATTAAGGGAATATCTACATATTCTCTTATGAAGAGCGTTAACTGATTCACGTCAACAGCATTCGACACGTAGCTATTCATCGACTGATTAGCTCCTCACGGACGGAAAGAAGACGGTGAAATTTTTCACAAGCAGCGGTAGCCGTTCATCTCGTACAATCTGTGTCTTGGAATCAACCTATTTGTGAACCGGCGTTGGGCCGATTCAACGTCTTATTTATCCGAGATTTGCATTTAAGCCTTCAAATCGTCTTGGATTCAAAGCCGACGACAGAAGCCCAACGTTTCAAAAGACTATTTCGGTTTTGAAAGCAAGTTGATTGCACAATGAACTCTTTTCTCTTCCGCTCACGGATTGTCGTTGTCCTGCTTCTGTTCCATATAAAAGGTTTGAATTTCCTGTTGTTTAGGGTGTGCTTTTAGCTACCTGAACGTTCTCATTAGGCGGTTTGCTATTGTGTTGCTTCTTTTTACTTTTCATGTGGCTATGCACAGATGTCCAGCAAAATGCTGTATTCGCCCGGCAGTTGTGTAACCAAACAGCGACTGTTCCCATTTGCTTTTCGAGCGAACGTGAAATGACTGGCTTAGCATGAAGCATTGTTCAGCTGAACTATTGTACTTATCACATGCATTGCTAACGCTCGTCATTACGATTCAGTCCTGCAGGGCGCTAACAAGCTGGAAGTGGAGTTAGATCTTCAGTCAGGCCGGGTGATACCCTCAGTTCATGCTGCTAAATCTCAAGTAAGCTTCATCGTCCAGCCCACGCCTGCTTCCCAACCAGATCGTTGCGATGGTCAGGCAGTCGTGCGTCTGGACTTCAGCGGACCGTACAAGAAGGCCAAAATCGAACTCATTTATGGTGAAGAACCTCGTCTTTGGACTGCAAGCATATCAAATGTCCCAACAAGCTATGGCTTCGGCTCGAGCTTTAACTACTCAAGTAACTGCGCAACTGCTGAGGTATTCAACCAGCAATTTCGAGTTTACGGCAATAAACTGCCTGGCTTTAGGTTTGACTCCCAAAATGGAAATTCCTTGATGGTTGCTGAAGACGAAGTTGTGGAAAAAGGGGCAAATATGACAATCGACATCGCAAATGAAGGAATAACATGGGAAACGCGTTATGTAAATAAGTCTTTTTACTGGGACTACATCAAAAACAATCGATACCTTTTTACTCTGTCAGGACAAAAGCCAACATTTGGTCCACCCTCACACGGACATGTTTATGCTGGGTTCAACCGAGTCTCCTACGGAAACTTTCACAACGGTTCAGGTCTTTGTAGAGTTCGCATCACGTTCAAACGCGATTTGAGCAAAGGTAAGATAAAGATGACAACATTTTGAACATTTTATTTTAGGTTGTAAGACGTGCGTAAGGAGATCGATATAGCGATGTTTTGCGTTGTCTGCTGAGTGTGGATTATCAATAAATTGCTGATATCTTTGTTTACTTTAACAAAACGTTTCGTGGATAGGAAGGAGTATGTTTTGCGTGGGAGGAATTTAAATTAGCAAGGACGTGTTAATTTGAAGCGATTGATAAGTGTGCAGCCCTCCACTCAAAGTTTTCAACGTTTGAATTGAATCCCGCAGATGAACTTTGCCATTTTGCTCAAACCCAGATGTCTAAGGGTGATGTGTTATTGTGATAGTTTCAGCGTTATGTTGTTTTATTCATTGCACTCTCTTGGTTTTTGAATGCATATTTGTCTAACTAGCACTAAAAATGTTTTGTTGTTCACACAACGGCAAGCCTGGACTAAAACTCGTGTCGTGTTTGACGAATTGCTTTCAGCGCGTGTAAAAGAACGCATCGAATTTTTTTCTTTCTTTCTAGTTTGTAACTTTGATTTATTATATTTTCGCACCGTTTGTGAACGGCAAAAAAAATTGACTGAATGTTCTCTGTGACCTTGCCTCACGCAAAGTTTCTCATTCTCATGCTGTTTTTGTTGTCGGCATTACAAGTTATTTCTGCTCCAGACAAATCCACGTCACAGAAATATCACTCGAACTTTAGTGACCACCTGCATATTTAGGATGCTACAACTTGAAACGATAACACATTAAGACAGTTTTCTCCACAAAAGAGGCCGTCCCTCATCTGAACAACAACTTCCGGCAGAAAACAATTTTTTGGCGTGAAATTTCCGACAGAATTTGCCAAAAGAAACCGCCTGCAAAAAATAGCATATCAAAACCCCACTTGTTGACAAGGAGAGAGAAATCAATACTGTGTTGGATATAAAAATTAAAACTGGCCCTTTGTATTCCGCCAAGAACATGCCTCTCATGACCAAGTCTTTACCTACAGTTTCGTTGTAAAGACCAAAGTTGCATTTTAACCCGTACAGTTTTGTTCGGAACTCTAATCTCTAAATAAAAGTCTCCATTACTACATCGTATATCCAGGAAATCCAATACGGGACAAAATTTCATTTTAAAAATGGTTATTTTCTTTGCTATTATGTTCTACTTAGCGGTATCGCAAATTAAGACGTGCTGTAAGTTTACCTTACTAATCATTTTCACAGATTTCACGTCAGCTTGATAGAAAGCAGACTTCAGCACATTCCAGCTTGGTGAAATGATTGCTCTTCATTGCACACCAAACACACAACGATTTTCAAATTTTTCCTAGACAACACCATGTACTAGTAGTTCTCCAACCATGTCGAATCTTCATTTCTCAGTCTTACCGCGATAAAATTTTTCCTCGGAAAGACTGAACTGTTGCGTAGAGGAAATGAGTAGAGATTTACATGAAATTTTTGTTTTTCCTTGTTTTTTTTTTTTCCTCGTTCAAGTTCCGTTTTGAGTAATTCCTGGAGTCTTTCTCGGACAAGGTCAGCGAAGGAATCTGTTTTAACTTCATTTACCCTTCCTTTAATGTCATTCAGTTTTTCAAGTACTTTGTTATGTTCATTTCCGTTCATTTTTCATTTCAAGATATTAATAATTCTATGACATCCTGCTCTCAATGTCATGTGATTCTTTGAAGGCATCAATAAAACTGCATTTCACGAGATGAAGTAAATATTCAAAGGCTCTTCTACTTTAATATCACGGGTCTATTCTGAAAGGCTATAGCAAAGGGAGGACCAGAAATTTTTCATAACTCATAGAAAGACACTCGCCAGAGATATTTACACATTATATAGCGAAGAATCTTACGAGACAGTTACAAGCAGCGATACTGATTCGTCAGCCGAATACATAGATCACACATTATTTGAAAAGAATTCATGAAAACAAAGTTAGTTTATACATCGACATAAACTCCATTGGAAAAAGAGCAAAAAAGGAAAGATCTTTAGAAAGATGTTAGACTACTCTCTCGGGGACTTTTGAAAGTTTGTCGAGTAAGGTCTTTTCAAACTTACTTTAACGATTTAATCCAAGGACATTATACCTAGGGCGTATATTCGAAAGAATACGTACTTAGCTTCAAACGCGAGTAAACCGAAAAAGGGACGAGCTCTGAAAGAAATTTGAAATCTCGAGTCTTCTACCCTTTCAAATCATTGGTATCTCAGTCCCTTTTAACGTCAAAATCTCTCTAAGCCAGGTAAAAACCTGTATGCGGGACGAGCGTTACATAAAAACTAGCAGATCATTGTATCTCCATGGCTCAATGGTAGACTGAGCATTGGAGCACGGAGTCCGAAGGTCAGAAGCTCGATTATTTCTTGATAGGAACTCGAAATTCTCTCTTTGTCCCATGCTTGTGAAAAGACGAAAAAACATGATTTCTTTACCCCAGATTTTTGTTGTAAAAGACATTTTAGAGATTCACTTAGTCCCGAAAGTTACCAGAAAAAAAAAGTCTTATTTGATGTCAGTCAAGGTTGAAAACACGAGCTCCCAATACAGTGACGGGTTCCTATGCTCTCAGTGGTTTCAGATGAGAAAGGTTTTTTTTCTAGATACTTGAAAAGTACAGGGAAACATAAAATAGTTAAAAAGTGAGCGGAACATTGCGCGCCATAAGCGGAAAATCACGACCTCCTTTTAGGTGCGACGCATACTTATTTTATGACTTATTCGCCTCGACCGGTGGGGAATGTAACTGATGAAGTCGCTTTATCGCTTAATACGGTCTCACCTTTATCACAGCTTAAATGCAATTTTTTTTTATGGCAGAGATACTCAATTCTGCTTATTCTTCGACAACGCAAGCATTGTTGCACTGGTAAGACTGAATAAAACTTGACATTTACACCGGCGGATGGTGACTGAAACTAGAAAACGATAAAAATTGATTTGTCCGTAAGAAAGTCTTGAAAAAACTGTAGTTCCCGAAGGTTGTAAAACTTTAAAATCGTTAGGGTTACCCTGAAAAGTTGAATAATAAAGACTAAAAACACATGCTTTTTCCTTTTTTGGTCTGAATTGTCTGGAATACTCTGGCGAGTTCCTTGATCAGTTTGAAGTATAACATTTGTGATACGAGGTTCCTTTGTCCTTCAAAGACATCTCTGACTAGATTGATTGAATAGTTTAGCAGCCGACTATATTGACATAAGTATTCCACAGTTCTCATGCGAAATGACTTTCATTTTATTCGCCGCCTTTTATCAAGCTTAAGATAAATGCATTTCGTCCAAAGAGTATCTAGTCGGGGTAATGGTGGATTTCATTAAGCAACAGGCTCGGTAAATTTGTAGTTTGTAGTTTGTGGTCTTGATAAATGGTAATAACCAACCTTAAGTCAGTAAAACACGATTCACGTTTTATAACTGAGCACCGTTGCAACTCGCTTTTCCGGTTCCGAAGTTAAAGATCTTTAATTACAGACAAAGCGTGCTTTAGGGATTAATTCTAAAACCCCATATCAGCGGCAAAACGGCCCAACAATTATCTGCGTTTTAACCCTTATCAAAAACAGAATCCTTCCCGTACGAAACTGCTCCCTTCTCCTAGAGCACCACCCTCAAAGATTCCTAAAGTTGAAGTGGCTCTAATTAAAATCAAACCTTCGCTGAAATGGAGTGTTTTGTGTTTCCAGTGGTTCGAGAAGTCGAGGATTCGATTACAGGCCTTCAGTTCGAGTTATCGGGAGTTTAAAAGGACGGTTTGCTTAATCAGTAAACGCCATCAGACAAACGCCAACGCTCACGCTACATTTTCTCGCACTAAGGAATCTTTTCGTGTCGTCTAGCACATGTTCAGCAGATAATCAGTTAGTTCTCGATTTGATAGCGAAAGCCTCTTAATTTTGGCGCTGCCAAAAGCTTCTTTCCACTATCGAGGTCTGAAGCCGGTGCTGGCTTCTATAGTAAATGTAATAAGCGCTTGAGGTTAGCTTACAAAGCTGGCTTGTTATTTTTTTTACTTCTAATGGCATTTGTTTACAGACATAAGCTAAGAGCTATTCATGTGACAATCAAACTACGATTAAAAAAATTGAGACATCAGGAGCCCGTTTCACGAAAGTCCCTGTAACTTAACGAGCCCGTAAAGCTGTTCTGTTTTCATTCCAGCGGGGATTTCAAAAAGTTTTGAAAATGATACAATAAAACCATTAGCTACAGAAACAAAAAGGATTGGTTTGGGGGCCAGAAGCTTTCTTATCCTTTAAATTTTGATTTTAAAACATGGCTTCGGGCCCGTTAAGTTATCGAGACTTTCGAGAAACGGGCCCCTGGTACGGTAAATGCAATAAATCTAAAGAGTTAGACTAAAATAGATTTCATAACTGTAACCCATATTTGCAAGTGATTTAAGCATGTTATTTGAAGAAATTGTGATCAAGCTAACTCTGAGTGAGACACTGACTCAACAAAATTTAAGTTATGAGGGGGGCATAGCACTTCAAGTATGCATACATCTTGCTCCGGTTAAGAATAGGGACACGAAATGACAGCATTTTAGTGTTCAGAGTACAACGTCTTTGTCAGTATATCTGAATTATGAGTAATGACCTCTTCACTTTGTCCTGACGACGACGCTGGTGAAACACTTTGCTTTGTTTGAAAAATAAGAACATAAGCGTACGTATCTTCGCTTTAACATGGTCTGTTCACCATACGCACGTAAGTATGCATTTGCCTGAACTTAGTATACCGTGCTTTTAAAGTTGGAGTCATGTGGTTCACCGCCACTAGCCAAAATCTTAACTGAGTTTTGTTTGTTAATAATTTAAATAGACGAAAACTTTTCTAGTAACAATTCTGTTTTGTTTTGTTTATTCTTGTTGCAGACTCTCCCTGTGCAAGTGGCAATCATGATTGCCATCAATTTGCTGAATGCTACCCAACCAAGCGTTCATTCAAATGCATCTGTAAGCCGGGTTACCTTGGCGACGGGCGAAAATGTAAAGGTAACATTATATTTTATAGTATCAAGTTTAATACAGCCTTAATCTTCGCAGAAATGTTATATATACATTAAGATACAACTGTAGTAAGGTTTAAAATTTGTAGGCTATTTAAAGTAGTTAATTAATATATCTATGTAAGCTTACTTTCTGAAACGATTCTTCTTTCATCCGTAATCGCTTCTCTTTCCTCCTTAAGTTGCTGTTCAGTCTTTCCAAAACGTATGTCATTATCTGTAGAGCTCACCTCAGCAAATGTTTGAACTATCTCATTCCATGGGAAAATATTACAAATTCGGCGCCGCGCCCGAAACACTTCCAAGGACGACCCCACATACCCTGTATTTCCCTTCCTAGCCCAGAAAAGGGAAATCACATCAGCTCAGTGACACAAAACATCCTTGCCCAGGAGGAGAAAAGCCAAGATCTTTTCAGCGGAATCATCCAGCCGGCTGCCATTTTCTATATGCCTTGATCTCTAGTTCCCAGTTCGTTTGTCGAGAGGAACATTTAGGTGGGTAAACACACCAGCAGGGAACAGAAAACCTTCAAAATGGCGATCAAAATTAAAGATTCGTCTTTTTAATAAAATCTGTCTTAATTTCAAGTTGAACAAATGTTTTCTGAAGTAATTTTCTAAGATTACTGAATAAAGGCTACCGGTTCGAAAGCACGTAAAAATTTGTATAATTCATATTTCTTTGTGTTCAGAGTATGATCCTTGTTCCGCAAACAATGGAGGATGTCAGCACCTTTGCAGGCGGAACTCGATGGGGCATGCTTCATGCAGCTGTAATGAAGGCTTTCACTTGCACCCGAACAAAAGAGATTGTCTCGGTAAGCTACAGAAAGAAGTAAAAATTTAACCTCTGTTAGTCATCGTTTGTGATCCCTATAAGTTGTTCCTCGATCTACTTTTCCTTCTTCGAATTATTTCCCTTCTGTACTCGAGTCAAGTACCAGTGCCCCACCCTGCCGGAACTTATTCTAGTTTCCTTAGCAGGAAGCGACTACGAGTATTACCACTTCCCCCTGGAGGGCATACTAGTCCATCGCAAGGTTACTCCCAGTGGGAGTGGAGAGAGGCACTGTGAGAGTAAAGTGTTCTGTCCATGAAAACAACATATTGACAAGACCAGATCTCGAACCCAGACTTCTCGACCGGGAGTCCGGTGCACTAACCATAAGACCGCCGCGTCATCCACATTCTGAGGAATATTTTGGTGTAAATCCTTATACGGCAAGAGAACAGAACGTATTTTTACTAAAGCAGAGTTTTTACCTTTCCACAGCCACAGAGGAAGTCAGAAAGAGAATCAGAATTAAGATGGCTGAGGCCTCGCCCTGCAAATCGAAGGATATCAAAGATCACATTGTGAACAAATTTCATACAAAGCTGCTGAGTCTGGATGTTTGTAATTTTCCCTGCAAGATTTACAAGCCGTTTTTGCGTTGCCGTCCAAAGGATACCGATCGTTTAGTGGTGTCCGTATTTTTTGACATCGAACTTCATAAAAACGTGATCTCGCCTTCGAAATTTTGTAATATCACATGCGCGCGATGTCAGATGGAGGACAGATTGCAAAAACTGATCGCTGAGCTTCGAGGGCTCACTAATGGTTACAAATTAAACGTGACGCTATATGACAAAACGTTTACTTTCGCTAGAAATACTCTGCGAATTTCAAAAGAGAAGGAAGAGAAGGAGAAAGAGGAAAAAAGGAAAGAGGAGGGTGATGAGTGCTATAAGACAGCAAGGAGAAAATTTAAGCGGCAAGGTGTGCAATAGAATTAACTCACTCGGATCAATTTTAGTATCTAAGCAGCTGCGCACCTTTTCCTCCTCTAACGCAACGATCCTAGCGCATTGTTGAGTTAGGGGAGGGGTTGGTACGCAGTTGCTCAGTCCCTGACTGTGAGTCCTTATGATTTTGGGGATAAAGATACTGTGCCAAAAGTTATTATCTGAAACGCTGAAACATTGTAAATAGAGGATATTACATGGCCGCGCGGGGATACGAATTTTATCTTCGAGTGCTGAAAGTATCTCTCACGAGTGAGCGCAGCGAAATAATTGGAAATTATTTATAAGTCGTAGAAGTACGGTGGCCCATAGGGGAAATGACACATTTTTTTATCGCACGATAAATGATCGATTATCGCGCGATAAATGGAAATTATCGCGCGATAAATAAAAAATTATCGCGCGATAAATGAAGATTATCGCGCGATAAATGGAGATTATCGCTCGATAAATCAAATTATCGCGCGATAAGCGGCCATGTAATGTTCTGTTTATTATATAGATACTGATGAAATTTCCACATAAAAGACAACTTTTTTATTCATTTTCGAAACAGCAAAAAGTGGTAACCATGGCCACACCAATATCCTCACACGTGAAAGATAAAAATAGTATCTTCACCGCGCGCGGTGAAGATATGATTTTTTAGTAAAAGGAGAAATCCTGGTATTTCATCAGTATCTATATAATAATATGAGATATGAACATCCTCAAGGGATAAAAAGGGTATCACAGTCCCGCTCATGAGCGTGAATGGCTATCTTAACTCATGAACGTGATTTGTAAGTGTAATTTGAGGACGCAATTCGTGCGTGTGCTCTGCGAACTCGATTTGTGAGCCCGATTTGTGAAAGCGATTCGTTGGTGTAATTCTTGGCACAAACCTCGCGCGACAACGAGATTATGTGATAGGCATTATTTTACTATGTAAGTTGTTAGAAATGGGGGCATGGTTTCACAGGGGACATGCAAGAACATGCCTACAAATGAAATAACAAACAAGAATGAAGCGAAAGGCACAATGTCTGTGCTTGATTGAGTAATCCAGTTAAACCGGACTTCACTGAAACTCTAGTGGAGCGTTTTTCAATCGAATGTCGTAAAACCAAAATCATAGGAAAATGTCGCGAGGAGCCAATGAGATCTCAAGGTGAAAATAAGTAAACTGCCTAAAGCGCGGGAAAATTCGGACGACCAAGTCGCAAGGAGCCAATGAGAACTCGAAGTGAAAACAAGCAAACTACGCAAAGCGCGGGAAAACACGAATGACCAAGTCGCGAGGAGCCAATGAGAACTCGAAGTGAAAGCAAGCAAACTGTCTAAGGCACGGGAAAACACGAATGCTCAAGTCACGATTGGCTTTAGTTTTGAATCTGATTTGTACATTGAGCAAGTGGCGCGAGTTTTTTTTAACAACTTATGGCCAGCTGAGCCGAGACGCAATTGACTCTGAAATAATACCTGTATATTCATTTGCAGCTCGCTGTCAGCCTGGAAAGTACTACGACATTTACCTCCGCAAATGTATGAACTGCTCAAGAGGATCCTACCAACCTAACAGATCAGAGAACTTTTGTTTCCGTTGCCCTAACAACAAGACGACACTACATACAGGAGCTAGCGATATTTCACAGTGTACAGGTAAATATGATACATATTAACTCCAGAGAGTAAAGCAATTCTGATGGGGGCAACAAAATAGCGTTGGAACGGGACGAATTTTCGTAACCTTCTTGGCGAAAAATAATGATCGGTCCCTTGACCGAAAATCACATTAGCAAATACAGATCTTCTCAAAGTATTTGCATTTAGGATATATTCTTTTTCTCAAAATAACCGGGGATGAGGCACATAAAACTGGAATTCAATCCACGAGATTCTCTCAGTGGGTTAATTTATCGATCAATTAATTCAATCATTGTTACTTTTCAGGAACAATTTGTGGTGGAAATTTAACATCGATGTCAGGAGTAATCACATCGCCAAATCACCCCGACCCCTACCCGATAGGAATCGAGTGTGTCTGGAACATAAGATGCCCCGAAGGTCGTGGTTTGCTTCTGCTTATACCAAACATATCATTACCGCTGACCATGGATTGCTCAGATCATCTAATCATGCGCGAAAATGCCAGCCCATTTTCAAGGACTACCTACTACGCATGCGAGTCCTACGATAACCCTGTCGCTTTCATCTCGAGAAGCAAGGATCTCTATGTCAAGTTTACTTCCAAAAGCAGCAACGAAATGGCAGAAGGGTTTAAAATTTTCTACGTTACATTTCAAGGTAGATGATTCGCTTTATGAGACATGCATCATGAAAGTGACAATTTTATATTTTTGTTGTAGTTTTGTTTCGTTCTGTTTTTTTATTTTGGTCAATTGAAAACTACTCTATCGTCATCTTTTGAATGAAGATAAGTCTTTCTTGGTCTTGCATATTTTTTGAGCGGGAAAAGTGCAGACTCCAAAGAAACACGCGGCAAGTCGTATCTTCTTATTATTGAACTAAATGTGGTTAAGAAGTTGACGATATAATGTTAAGGCGAAATTGCTTGACTTAACTTGCAAGTAAACATCATGTGTAAAATGGGCGAAAAATTAATTTAAAAATCTACATTTTTTGTTAAAATGTGAATTTTTTTGCCCCTTCATTTTGGATCGATGGACGTTTCACGGCTGCTTCATGATATCTGTCTGTACTATTCCCCTAACAACGCTATTCAATGAAGTACGTTTCGAAATGATTACGTATCGGGAGACTGAGATGGTTTGAAATGGTGCTTTTGGCGGCAACTTGTTCTAACAGCGGGTTTTCATCGTTTTCTTTGATAGAGAAATACAGATCTTTGGTAGAGTCTATTGTTCAAGACGGCAAATTATATGGAAACAGTAGTCTTCGCAAAATACTACAGGTAAGTCGCGTCTGTGGAAAGCCGTGGCTGTTAAATGAGGGTTCCATATACTTTTTACATGAAGCGTGATTGGGCGATTTTTTTCCTCATGAATCGTGATTTGACTTTTTTTTTATTCATGAATTTTGATTGAAGCTGAAAAGATATTTTCGTGTCCACGTGAACGATTTTTTTTATTTAAACGTGAACTGTGAATTAAGAGCAGAATTAAACGTGATTTAGAACCATATGTTTTTGCGTGATGAATTTCCTCTCATTTTATGGTTTTGGAAATGTAAGTATTATTCTTGAACGGCTGCGGTTAGGTTTCGACCAGGGTTTTGACAGAGGAGGACTTAATATGAATCGAATAAAATCATAAAACAGACCACTAGTAGTTCTTAAACAGATAAAATAAGACACTACGATCTCTGTTGTTGCGTAGGACTCGTCAGGACAAGGAAAAGTAAAAATATTAATTCAATGTGACTGTCTCGAATTTCGCGTGAACGTGAAAGAGTTTTGGACAATATTCGTGACGCGTGAAAAGGTCAAATATATTTTCATGACTGAGTTTTGCTAAGGGGTATAGGGGACCCCCTTAAATGATATTGTTGCACCTCCCAACCCAATTACAATTTCTGATTGGGGGAGATCGTGTCACATAGGTAAAGGTAAAGTCTGTACTCGACCTTAGTGGCCCATCGACCCAGAGCGTATCCTGATTTCCATTGCATAATGTGACCAGGAGTATTACCTCTCCCCCCTGGGTGGGATGCCAGTCCATCCCAAGGTTCACCACTCCCCCTGGAAGGGATGCCAGTCCATTCCAAGGTTCACCACTCCCCCCTGGAGGGGATACCAGTCCACCCCAAGGTTCACCACTCCCTCCTGGATGGGATACCTGTCCATCCCAAGGTTATATTCAAGGTTTCCTTCACAATCCACGGCTGACCATTTATGTCACTTATACTACAGAGCTGAGAGAAACACTGTGAAAGTAAAATGTTTTGCTTAAGAACACAACACTATAACCCCGTCCGAAACCACTCAAAGCTCTAGTCCCCGTTCGTAATTGACGTGGTTAGACGAGGTTGCATCGGGACTCTCCGTAACACCTTCGGAAATTAAGGCTCTGGTTCTCTCCCTAATAAGGCTTGTACTGTCAAGGCAAAAATCTCACGTCGTTGACTCACACTGTTGGCTGGTATAAAACAACCATGCGGTTTTTGTCGAAAGCTCATTTCGTATTAATTTTCTTCTTTTTATTCACCAGGACGAGAGTCTCATCACGCAAATTCTTGATATCATGGTTCACCCTCAAAAGTTTTTTTATTTACCTAAAAACTCAAAGAACAAACTCCCAGAATTTTATTCCTTCGTCGAACAGAAAGTAGCTGATAAGTTAAATCTCAAACCTTACAAGTAAAGAAAAAATCTTCTGGCAGAAGAACTGTCCAACACGACATTAGAAGTAAGGACCTTAAGCAGTCAGGACGGCAACGCCGAGAAAGACTTCGATTAAAAAAACCAATTCCTATGTTAAGTTAGGATTTCGCGGCTAAGAAATGTATAAAGTTTAAAAAAGCACGTATTAAGCTTTTGTTCTCTCCTTTAGATCTATCAATTTGCTACGGCCTCGTCGTCATGGTTTGCTTAAGGTCCTTAATGACAAAATCCGGACTGAACGCAAATATGTAATAAAAAGGTTATGACGCACTGTAAAGAGTAAAAGGAAAGATGACAATACTGCTTTGAAAGTGTTAATAGTATCATATCATGTTCCAAGTATTGTGGCGCCATTTAAAAGCCTCTCAGCGGTAGAAAAGTACGTAGCCTTTGTTACTTATATCACTGTTCATGTATGTCGTTGTCATTGATATTGTTTGCGTTTCTAGCTAACAGCCATGCGCAAAGTAAAAGCGGAATCGTAGGATATTTTCGAAATAAGAGGTTATCAGAATCTCATGACTTATTTTATTGGTTTGTTAGTAAAATACGTCCCGGTGACATATATATATACATATATACATATATTTAGAGAGAACACAACAAAAAAATTCTTTATTCGTAATCATGACCATGCACGCTCATGAAGACAATATCGACACCAAACGTAAGCGATGTTGTTTTATAGTCATGGGGATAGGAAAAGTATTAAATAAATCAATTAATGAGCCAAACTCGACAATTTGTGTTTAATCTGTAGAGCGCGCCCAACATGCATGATCAAGCTTTTGATTGGCATCTAATTTTTCCTCACGATATCACCCCTAAATCAAACATTAACGTCATGGCAATAAAGAAATGATCACGAACTCTGGACGTTTTTGATTTTTAGACAAATGCGCCTTATATGTACCATAAGAAATGTATAGTAAACAGTATGGAGAATATGCATACTGATGTTAGGGTGGTAAAGGTTATAGGGAAAGAGCTTCTTTCTTCAGACGTTAGGGATGATTCTATGGCACAGATTCCAACGGTTTGAAATTAATGTCTAGATAGAAGCTGCTTAAACTGATGTTTGTCGGCTTCAATTTAGTACATTGACAGTAAAAGTTAGTGACTTCTTGAACCTTGTGGAAAATTCAGTCTTTTAGTTCTTCTATTGTTAATTTTTATCCAGTTAAAATTGGTTTCACTGAATAGGTTTTTATGGCGCATATGGTGCAAAAAGTCTCCTGCCTCTTCATGAATCTCTTCGTTTTGCTTTTTAAATGTATTGAATATGATATTTTCAAAATGAGTTCAATTGTTACTGACAAAGTTATTGTACCACTTCGAGCAGTTGTTCTAATCCAAGGGATCGCCGAGGGGAGAGTCGTACAACCCTAAAGCCTTTGTCCCAAAGGCAATCTGTTGTTTTGCCGTTGTTTTCATTATTTTATGAAGTAAGTCCTCTCAAAGGTTCAAGTGTGGTCGTAGTAGCACTTACCAACTACTTTTGAACTCTAACCCACCTCGATGACTGAGTTTGGATTCTCCCCCAGCCACAAAAGCTGCCAAGAAAAGCACAGTACAACATCCCGCATCTCGAACCATGTCAGGCAGAAGAACCAAAACTGATGGCACAACATTGCAATATTTGATAAAACGTTTCTTGCAAAACTTTGGATCGCAGGGCGTTATTTTTGTTAGGTTAAATGAGTGTTTGACCTTCTGCCACGAAGGTATCATATTGTGACACTTAAACGAAGTTATAAGAATTGTTGAAGCCTTCTTCCTCTTCGCTTTGTGAATTTTCTTTTGGATGATTCGACCAGAGAACTGCAGTGAGGCCTACAATGATGGTCACACCACACCCCCGACAGTTTCAGGGGTTTTCAGCATTTCACCTAACACCAAGTACGACAAGACGGAATAGAAAAAAATTTGAAGCGGCCCTGTGGCTGTCACAAGTGACGCAGATATATGCATAAAACAACCCAGAGACGATGAATACTGCGTACAGAATTTGGTAGATCTCCTCTCGAGGAAACTGACTGAACTTTTCTGACTTATTAATGTAGTAAAACGATGCGGGAGCAAAAAACATCGCATCGAAGAAATAACTCCATGCAGTTACTGCGACTGGTTTTGCTTTCCAGCAGGAGTCCTCTTTGACAAAGATAAACTTTTTCTGAGGGAGGATGTACAGCGCCAAGTCTATAGTATTTCATCAGGAAAATTATGTTCCCCACAAATTGGACGCTGTGCGCCGATGCTTGGTCAGATTTTTTCCCCATTGTAAGTTACTACAGTTCCAATCGCACCTAAAAGAATTCCCAGCCACGCAAAGTACGGAAGTCCGGAAACGGCTCAATGCGTGCCACGGTAGCTGGTGATGCTGTCCACACATGGATTGCAGGTTGGAAAATGGACGTTAAGTTTGTGTTAGTGTAGTAAATACCAAGAAGGTACAGAAGTTGATTGCCAAACATTCCTGTTAAATCAAAAACGTTGAAAAGGGGGAGATCCCTGAAAAAAGAAAAATTTACTAGGAGTCCACGTTACACCGAAACTGTTCCATACAACGTAAATAGGAAACTTGAGTTTGACCACGAACTCTGTTACTAGTCATTTAATTTTTGGAATGTTTTTTCTAAATGTTGGGAGAAAACGAGAAAAGCTCAAACATCACAAAGTGATTTACAAGCAAATTGTATTTGAATAACAAGATGCTCAAATATGAGTGGTTCTTGACAGCCCTATTTCACCTGTCCGATTACAAACGCTTGTAATCGGCCAGGCAAAAACCTGACAGCCAAGCAGCCAATAGCAATTAAGCACTTCAAGCCAGCTGCCAGTAAAAATTAACTACCTAAACAAAGTTAGCCAAACGAACTGCTGGATATTTTGAACAATACTTAGACTTAACTTAAGTTTCTGGCACTTTGTTATCAACACAATTGATTGGTAATCGGACTTCGCGTCGTACAGTTCAGGGATAAACTCTTGATATTATACATGAAAACATTTCTCTGTTCTGATTGACCGAAGGAAATGCAGTTTTCAGGAAATACGATAAAGAAATTAGGACATTTAGCGCATAATAGGGTAATTCAAAGCAAAACTAGAAAAAAAAAAAAGAGAGTATTAGCTCTCTTTCATTGGGTAATGAAAAAGAGCCCTCATGAATAGCCAATCAAACAAAACCTCCAATGGCGCAAAGTTTGAATTCATCATGGGTTGCGAGCGAAAACAATTGCTAAAGTTTTGAGCAGATTTTCATTCGCAACCAAAAAACCAAAGCAAACATGGTGATGATTATGAACCAGTGTGCTCCAGAATCATGATTGCATCACTTGACAAACACTTGAGGAACAAAACCGCAGAAAATTCGGTTCCACCAAGCAAGTGCTGGATAGGAAAGCAAAATAGCCTCGCTTAGCTGGCCGTGGAAAGCGTCCAAACGAAGCTCGACGAGTAGCCGCAAGAGGAGGCGGGAGAAATTCGCTGTCAGAGCAAGAAACTCGGTGGTAAAAACCCAGAATCTTAAATTCAAACAATGTAACGATTAAGAGACTGACAAGCCAATTCTTGAACTGTTTGGCGGTTTTTTTTAATAGCTTGGGGGGGGGGGCTATTAAAAAACAATGAAATACTTGATGTTTTGTCTCAAAGAGTGATGATTTTTGCCGGATTTCAATAAATTAATTTTCCTCGTTGATTTTCATGTGTATTGTCTTGCATAGGCTGTCTCGCGTTTTTTTTCATCGATGTTAGCGGATATAAATGATCATATGTTTTTGTCAAGCAATTTCTGTTAAAAAGCACTTGTACCTTAGTCTTTAAAATAATTTACTAAAGCTTTCTCATTCCAAATTGAAATCGGAATAAGGCGATTACCTTTACTAATCGTACAAATTTTTCTTTAAGTCACTTAGGAGGGTGAAGGATTTTAGGAGGGTTCACATGGTTTTCATGGGAACTGGGAGTGGAATCAGTCGTCGCCAGCCGAGCATAAAGGGAAGGGGGGCTATAGAAAATTTACTGCCAATGAGGGGTGGGGATCGTAAGAATATTAAAAAGCCTTAAATATATTTCATCGTGACGCTACCAAACTGGTGTCTTATGTCTGTTTTTCTCCTTTTCCCACGGTTTAGCATTTTGCCACAAAATCATCTGACCGACACAAATTTAAACAGTCGACAGAATTATGTGAGTCTTCCTTCTCTTGTTTTCTGCTTTTTTCTCGCATAAAATTTGACCCGATTGCCATGAAGAGTCCAACAACGATGGTCACACCCCCAATGTATTCTAGAGTCTTCAGCACTTCGCCTAATACCAAGTAGGACAAAATGGTGCAGAATAAAACTTGAAGAGGCCATGTGGCTTTCACAAGTGACGCAGATATCTGCATGTTACACTAGGAAATCAAAAGAAAACACAAGCCAGAGGTAATTACTATACCGTACAGAATTGGGTAGACCTCCTCTTTAGCATGTTGAGCAAAATCCGTGAACTTTTCTGGCTTGTTGATGTAGCAAAGCGATGCGATGGTAAAAAACATCGCGCCGAGCAGATAACTCCACGCAGTGACTGCCATAGGTTTTGTTTTCCAACAAGAGTCCTCTTTGTCAAAGGTAAACTTTTTCTGAAGGAGCACGTACACCGCCATGGATAAAGTACTTCCTAGGGGAAATATATGAGATGAACGCTACCAGAAGAGGTTGATCTATTTGGGTCCAATGCTTGGTCAAATGCTTTTCCCATTGATATGGCCACAGCCCCAGTTGCAGCTACTGAAGAGAATCCCCATGGACTTGGCTCAGCCGAGCAAAGTACGGAAGTCTGGAAACGGCTCAATGCGCACAATTATTGCAAGTAATGCTGTCCACACGGGGATTGCAGGTTGCGATATGGACGCTATGTTTGCGTTAGTGTAGTAAATACAGAGGAGGTACAGTAGCTGAGTACCAAACATTCCTGTTAAACCTAGAACGATGGAAAAGGGAAGCTCCCTGAAAAAGTCAAATTCACTCAGAGTTATCATTACCCAAAACAGACTTGAAAATACGAATGGGATTACTGAAGATTATGAGCAGTTTGAAAATGGGAAATAACAATCGAAACAGACACACAGCAGACATGAGACAGTAACGTAACACTGACTTCATAATCAAATGGGTTTGGGCGTCTTTCTCTTAAGGTAATTTAATTCCAGAAATTAGCATGGAATGAGAAACTGTGCCATGAGCAAACTGGGAAAATACTGTAATTTAATTTTGTACTCTTTGTTAGGTGAGATAAATTATGCTCGAAAATTTAAGCATAATACTTTTAAGCATCACCCCTGAAACCATGCATGGCAATACAGGCATTCCGAAAACTATGCTCAAAGTTGTTTGTTATGCTCGAATTCAAAATAATAGCTTTTAAAAGCGCCCCTCAAACTCCCCGCTTCTCACTCCTACCACCATAAGGTAAAACTTACCGAGAATAAAAGGACTAACCGAGGATTAAAACACAACATTTTACTGGTTCAAATTCCTAAAGTACAAGCTAGAAAAGCAGGCTCACTGTTGACAATACGGAGGGTACAAAATTCATCTCCCGTAGAGCTGTAACAACGAAGGCCGAATTTTCGAGAAGTTCGAATTCAGTCATCATGCCAGCATTATGCTCTGTACTCTGATTAAAGCACTATTTCCAAAATTATGCCAAAATTCATTTGACCCTACAAACTGTGGCCTTCTTATTCTAGAGCGAAAATCAAAACAGGATCCCATTTATCTCAGCATTAAAAAACTGGTAAGCGATAGTTGGAACTTAGACCAATTCTCTCACTGGCTGATATGGCAAGTGATACAGTCGCTAGATATAAAACAACTTAAAACAACTGAACTTGTACTTACCTCAGAGAAGGAATATGAATCCTCTTCTCCAAGAAAAAAGCTGCCGGGAGAAGCACGACAAAAGAGCCCGCACAATGTATCAGGCTAAAGATAACAGGGTCTGCGTTGCTCTCTTTAACAAATTTTGAAATGATTATTCCACAACCTCCAAATCAAAGCTGAGCGACAACAAGAGTTTACACCACCATCCACATAGCCATTTTGATCGAGGTTTGAAGCTCAATAACAAATTGTGAACTTAACTTTTTAGCTTGAAAACTGTGGAATAGGGAATCACAGCTTCGTGTGACTAGAATAAAGATTAACACTGACATTGTTCACACAAAAATCTTTGCACAAAGTTAAGAAAAATTACCGATGTACCTGAGCTGAGCTTTCACTTCCGGTATCAACGATTGGACGGCAGAGGTGTCATGGCATACTTACAAGTAAAAACGTGACTGACCAGCAAAAGACAAGCAGAAGTATCTTGGCATAAACGATTGACGAGCAAAAGTTCCCGTTTATTTGGTTTGTTGTAACCTTATCGAGTTGCCCCTTAACAAATTTATCATGTGACCCCTCTAGTACCCACGCGCTCTTATCGGACTGAAAAGAGAAAATGATAGATATACGTGATGGCGCGGGAAAGCCTGGAAAAAAAGTCCAACGACCCTGCGAGATGCGAGCTAAAAGAAGAAAGAAAGTAAAAGAAAGAGCAATGATCATATGACGCTGTGCTTTTTGGGTGAGTTACGCCGTCGATAATATTTCGCGGCACTCGGTCCGTAAGCCATCATTTCGAAAACAGATCTTTTCCTATCCACTCCTCTAAGTCAAGTAAAACGCATTCAGAGGGAAACTATGTGTAAATGGAAAGAATAACTTATACTAAATAATTTTTCAAGATACCAAAAACTGAGCATCGCTCTGTACCTTTAAACAGTTGGAGTCAGCAGATACCGTCAACAAAATAAATAGCACTAAGAAACCGCGTATTATTCATCCCTTGGGGGTGGGGAGGAGATTCGAAGATTTTGGTTATGACACGTTTTACCTGATTCCCCCCCCCCCAACATAAGGTTGTGTAACACTCTCATGATCCCCCTGTCATTTGCAGTTAATTGGCAATCAATTATCTTTATTTTCTCCTTTCAACTCTATTGGCGATGACTGATTCCCCTCCCCCCCCCCTCTATTCTCCGCTGAAAACCATGTGATCCCAAAAATTCACCAAACCCCTCCCCTGGGGGATAAAAAATGGCTTGTCCCTAATTGTTTTCGTTAACTGTTAACCGTGACAAACTATTGACCTTGCGCGTGCTTGCTATACATTCGATACGAGAGGGCATATTTGGAGAGAGCAGAAGTGGCAATTGAGTTTTTTGAGACAACTCCCTCTTGAGATTATTTGTTTTGTCTGGTGCAGATGAAAACATAAACAGGAGATTAGGTTTAACAGTTACACGTATTAGAGACATTCAATTCTGTATGTTACTTCAGTTCTATCTGTCTCGTGTCCTGTAGATCCAGAGGCTAGGCTGCGGTTATAACCCCAGCTGTTCTTCAAAGAAACGATCTAGTAAGGAAAGTGGAAGGGCAAGAGATTCCTTCCTCCAACTGCATTTCTAAGGATTGTCTTTTTGGTCAAATTTGATGTAACTCTACTATCAGCGCAGAACCTCCCGCAAAGCGCGACTTGCACGGCTTCTCTTCTTCAGAATCTGTGATACAAATAAACAAAACATATGCAACGGAAAATAAACGATCGGAAATCCACTGAATCCCGTTTTGCGCATTTTACCCGGCCTAACATCAGTATGCATATTCTCCATACTGTTCCCCATACATTTCCTGAGGAGATGACAAGGAGAATTTATTTGCAATCAACAGCTTCTATGATGGGTGATAATTTCCTTTATTCTCGTGACTTAAAGGTGCGATTTGAGGTTCATATAATGAGGAGAAATTAGATGCTGAAAATGAAAATAGTCGTCGCAATTAGAGACCTTGCGTGATATGAAAACACCACAAATCTATCGATTTTTTCAATATTCATCTCGTACACGACATCAGTGATGATTTTGAAAAGTGATGAGATAATTTTCAAATAAAAGCTAACCGTGGATGCGTTGGGTCCTCGTTTTTTAACAAGTCGTAGGCCCAATAGGGTTAGTACGAACGGGACATAACGACCCATGCGAGGCATCGCCCTTTAGAGAGGCAGGAAGAACAGGAACACAGGACCAGGCCCAGGAACACAACGGATTGACCCGGCCAGGTCTCTCGAATCTAGGTCTCTCGAACCTAGGTCTCACGAACCCAGGTCTCTCGAACCCAGATCTCTCGAACCCGAGTCCACTGCACTGACCATCAGGCCGCAACGGTTCCCACATATCTATCATCTACCTTCTTTTATCCACTCCTGCTAAGTTTTCTCCTCGGGTTTATGCCTATGTGCATCGAGGCCAAAACTCTGCAAGGGTAACCACTATAATTCATATTACTGAAAAATACGTTTATCGTAATTCATAACTTTTGAGGGTTCTTAAATCGTATTCAATACCCAGGAAGTTATTAGTACACGGCAATTAACGGCAAAACACTACAATCTTAGATAAAACGTATATTGTAAGATTTTAGATCAGATGACGTTATTTTGTCGGACTAAATCAGTGTCTAATTCACTCCTTTTTCCTCTCTTGGACCTTCCGCCACAAAGTCATCATACTGTGACACTTTCACGTAGCCATAAGAATTGTTCAAGTCTTCTTCCTCGTCTGCTCTTCTATTTTCTTCTGAAAAATTGGACCAAACAACTGCCATGAGGCCTATAAGAATGCATACACCCCCAACATATTCCAAAGTTTTCAGCACCTCGCCCAACACGAAGTACGACAAGATGGCGCAGAATAAAACCTGAAGAGGCCATGTGGCTGTCACAAGCGACGCAGATATCTGCATGTTACACCAGGATATTAGAAGATAACATAGACCCGAGGCAATGAATATTGCGTACAGAATTGGGTAAACTTCCTCTCTAGGAAAATACGTAAACTTTTCTGGCTTGTTGACGTAATAAAGCGAGGCGAGTGCCATAAACATTGTCCCGAAGAGATAACTCCACGCAGTGACTGTCACAGGTTTCGTTTTCCAACAAGAGTCGTCTTTGTCGAAGATAAACTTCTTCTGAAGAAGGATGTACACCGCCATGGACAGAGTATTCCCGAGGAGGAATACGTACCCCGCAAAATGGACACTGCCAGACGAAGATGATCCACTATGGTCCGATGCTTGGCCAGATTTTTTTTCTACCGTCATAACTACAGCTCCAACGGCCGCTAAAAGAATCCCCAGGGACTTGGCCCAGCCGCGCAAAGTACGGAAGTCTGGAAACGGCTCAATGCGGACCATGATAGCTAGTAATGCTGTCCACACGGGGATTGCAGGTTGGAAAATGGACGCTATGTTCGCGTTAGTGTAGTAAATACCAAGAAGGTACAGAAGTTGATTGCCAAACATTCCTGTTAAACCAAGAATGATGAAAAGGGGGAGCTCCCTGTAAAGAAAGAGATTCACTTGAGAGACGCCCTAACTCAGAACCTCATCGAAATATCCTGCAGGCGAACCCCGCAAGATTTGAAGTGAATGAACGAAGCAAGCATGCGAGAAATCCGTGAGGGACCTAATACTAAAAAAGTGGACTGTCATTTAAGACCATCGCCGGATTCAAAGTGTGAAATTGGGTTTGTACAGGCATTTTTTAAACAAACATGAAATAGAGAATAGCTACAGAAGCAAACCGAAACTGGGAAAATATTGTCACTTTGTACCCTTTACGGGCTTCTTATTCAATAGCGAATAGTAAACCAAGATCCTTTCATCTCAGCACTGTAAGCTATCAAGTGACGCATCACTATCCCATCTCTCCTAGCAGCCTACGAGCAGGTCCTCATCATAAGAGCCTCGGCACGAACGGTTTTTTCACCCGCGGTAAAGTACGTTCGAGCAGCTGTTCGTTTGAGCCACAACAGTTCCAGCACTGATTAGTGCCAGACCCCGGCAAACTTTTCCTGGACTCGTTTCAAATCTTTTCGCGGGCGGAGAAAGCATCCATCTGCCAATCACTCAATTATCTCGTCTTTCGCGCGCAATCTTGCGTGAAATTTTTAACCCTTCAACTCACATGAGTGACCAAAACAGAATTTCTCCTTACAATATCTAAAGAATATCAAGCGGACAAGTTATGAGAATAAAGAAAACTATCAATTAGGTATTATACGATCCAATACCAAATTCTCCAAACGAACATCATGGGAATTGTATAGCAGACAGTAAGGAGAATTACTAATGAGATCTTGGGAGTAAAAGAGTTAAAACTCATCAGTGTGAGTTTAAAGCTTACTGGTACCAGTAACATAATTGCAAAGACATAGCAATAGGTGACGACATTATAATAGCTCATGATTTCGAAATTTACATCAAACAGAATAAAAAAGCCAAACAGAATAAAAAAGCTTAAAGATCAAGACAGCTACTCAATCGAGACGAAATTGTTAGCTATATATTCGCTCTTAGACTGAATCCAATATTAAAGTGTGATGATCAGTGACCTGTATGAGCTATTTAGATCCATTTAGAAGGGGGATCGGAGTAAAACTAAACTTGTAAACAATTTTTGAAGGTAATTTCACTCACCAAGACCGAGGTAAAATAATTCCAACAGTTAGCCTCTAAATTAAATATTCTTTAGCTCGTACGTACCTTAAAGAGGGAATTTGAATCCTCCTCTCGGAGACAAAAGCTGCCAAGAGAAGCACAGGAAAGCATCCCGCATCTCGAATTAGGCTAAAGATTAGAGGATCTGCTTTATTCTCTTTAGCAAATTTAGAAACGATCACTCCATAAGCCCCAAATCCCAGCTGAACGACTACAAGAGCCAACCACACCACCCAAATACTCGCCATATTGAATTGAGTAATCCTCTTCCGTCACGCACTCCTTCGAATATAATACGCATGCGCACAGGAAGTCAAGCGTGACAGTCACACAACCTTCATAAATCAGTGAATTAACGTTCAAACGAATGATTACGATGATTATTTGATTTGTTCCCTTAAGCAACTCTTTGCATGCATATTTTTACGGTTGGATTTAGCTGATATCAGCAATAAAAATAGGTAATAAAAATAGCAGGCGAAAACATTTTTCCAAAAAAAGTTTCTCACTTTATTTAAAAATAGCACCTTTGTATTTACAACTACTATATCTAACCCTTCTGAAATATATATCGTCGCAATATATTAACAATAAACAAGGTGAGAAATTCATGACTTTCTATTTCTTTTTAAGACTTGTAGACAAAGGTTAGCAGATGACCAGCAGCCTTCAAACAAAATGACTCTCTAATATGTGTAAAAATACGTTACTGCTCCACTTGAATTCGATATACACATGGAATGATAAAGTTGAAGATGACAAAGCTGTAATCGTTGCTGGAAAAAAATTCAGAGTGACGAGGCCGTAGTGAAAAGGATTCTTCATATTTTCCAAACTATTTGAACACAGATTCTGTTTTAAAGTTACTAACACATTCCTTTTAAATGGCATTTATTTCTAAAACAAAATGCACACTGTAAAGAAGACGTAACACTGCCTTACAAAATTCAATGATAAATTTATTGGCAAACGCTTGAAGAAAAGTTAACGGTCAATTAACATTTTCCAAAAGTTTCATACCGTAGGCCTATCTTTCAAAAAGGAGAACGTTCTATGACTAGTTTTACAAGCTTGGTCTCATTAAAAATTTTGAGCTTATTCTTTTCTAGCCTCCTACGCAGACCTTCTTTGGGCTCGTCACGTAATCTTCCTCCCCTAGATTGCGTGACGAGCCCAAAGAACGTCTGCGAAGGAGGCTAATTCTTTTCGTAATTAGAAAATTTTCTTCCAAAAAGATAATTCATCAATTGCCAAATATGCTTTTTTTCCTATTAAAGAAATAAACTCTGTTACTTATCCATTCACCCAGCAATTTTAACTATTTTAGAAAATTAAAGTCTGTGTTTCAGACTACGAATGTTGAGGGGGAAAGTTCGAGCTCGCTGTCGAATGCGTTCAGTTGGGAGAAAGGAGTTTCCTGAGGTCAGCGGCTTCCTTTTCTAGAGCTTTTTGCTGTTTCCACAACACGCACTGAATGATCTTTAACCGCTCCACGGCCGGTGTAAAGCCTGGTTCGAGCTGTAAGGCGAGCAGGTAATGTTGAATAGCCTCAGGGATTTCACTCTGAAGTAGGAAAAAAAAAGATTAAAGTCGATTTTTAACGCGCGGAAAAAAATCTGTACATATTTGGCAGTGAAGTCCTTTACAGTGTAATGGATCCATCTTCATAATTTCAACAGGGATCAAAATTTATCAGATTAGAAAATTTTCCATTTCACGGTCAATGCTCAAAGACGACAATACCAAATAGCAAGATCTTCCCATCTCATCCCCAGTTCCTACTTCATTTCGTTAATAAAACGCACCAAAGCCATACAGATAACACGTTAAAATACCTGAGCACCGAAGACATTACCAAGAATGAAGTGTCCAAGGGCAAGACTAGGAGAAATCTGAAATAAAAAGAACAATTTTAGGAGGAGCCATTTTACTTCAGTCAAACCCACGGGGAATAGCGTGGTGACTGGTTAATACAGGTTTACCGCTAAATGCAGGTTCCACAGATTAGGGGTATTAAAAGAAACAATAAAAAACGTCATTTTAAATATGGATTACGATCTTGTATCCTTTAAAAATAAGTGAATATAATATTTACAAAAAAAGAATGGGGGATTTTGTAATTCTCGAATGTAACAGCGAATTTCCAGAACTGAGGCTCGATTTCCGCCGCTCTTCAAGCCCGGTATTTTTCGTTCCTCTTCTGATAGGAAACTTTACGTTTGACGGGTTTGACGCTCTTGTGTGACAGTCATCGCGCGTCACGCCAAATGGGTCGCAGTTTTCACTCCTTTGCCTCGTTTTCAGAAATAGAAACGCTTAGGACCGAATGAGCCGGTGAAAAACAACCAATTCGAGTTGATTATAACTTGAACATGTCGCTGAGTATACTCCTTACCTCTAATGCCTTCTTTATGACTACAGCTGTGTCGTCTAGCTGGCCTTCTCTTAACAATATACTGGCAAGACCGACATAAGCTACATCCTGGAATGAAAACAAGACTGTGTTAAAGTAATGTTATTATTATTGTTATTATTTTTTAAAAGAAACTTCCCCTACAGTAAAAACCCGCATACAAGAACACCCATTTTCGGGGTTCAGGTTGATTGGGTTCTTATATATAGGGTATTTTAGGTGAAATCAGCCTGAAAGTGTTCTCAAGTGTTCTTAATTTGTTACTTCTAAAAAAATGTAAGGGATTTACTAACTATGACGAAATACATAACTTATAATTGTAATTAGAAGACTTTTAATTCCAAATACAGTTACTGTACATTTTCTATACACAGCAAGTGAAATTACTAGCATTTATACAGAGATCTTAGTGCAATACCACAGTAAAGCTACAGATACTGTTTGTTCTATTAAACTGAAAAGGGAACAGTTTTTACATATAAGAAAAATTTTCAATTTTCAGGCTGAATGTGTTCTTATATACATGCTCCTTTTTTTACCAACTTTCAGCCTGGGTGTTCTTAATCCAAATGTTCTTGCATGCGGGTTTTTACTGTATTTCGACGTAACGAACCGCTCTACTCTGGCTTTGTGGTCATCTTTTTTCAGAGAACGAGTTCCATTTCAAGCTGAGTTGTTTGTGACGGAGTGCTTTGATAACAACCCCGCTTCTCCTCCCCAAGCAGCCATCTAATACTTTTAGGGATACGACGGTGGGTTCCAGAAATTCAAGGTAAACTTACGGTGATACACTGACACAAATAAACATCTCAAGACGATGCCTGAGCTCGAAACAAAGAGACCGCTTCGTGTTAAAATCATTAAATATCCCAACCTCGTTACCATGGCCTTTCCCCAAGTAAGCAAAAAGCCATGGGAACGAAGTTGAAAATACCTACTCTTGCATCAGAAGGAGAGAAGGAAAGCGCTTGACGTAAACACTTGATGGCTTCAGCAGTATCTCCCTGTACTCTCCAATAAAGAGCCGCTACATTCAGTAGCACCCAAGACGTAGAATTCTACAAGCAAAACAAACCACTGTTAACTTGACCGAGCTCACGTTTGCCATTTAATGCACTCACGGGTTTGAGTGCAGGTGGAGTCCAAAAATTGGGTCAGAATATGCTAAAGATCTGACCACCTGACCAGTTTAACTTCTTGGTCCGGAAGGGTCCATCCTAAGGATGTGCCGTTATGTCCAGCGTAGTTGGTCCCCTCACTAGACGATCATAGGGCAACCTACCTCTAGACATGGAACGAGCGGTGAAACCTGATCGAGGAAAGGACGCTGGTAATTATTTGCTACACAAACACCTTATCCTTGTGGGACAAACTTAACTCACCTTACCAATGGCGTAAAACTTTTTAGTATCTAACAACATTCTGTAAATGCCCAAAACTCAAAACGCAACCAATTTAGCCCATCTCCGCGAAATTTGTCTCGGCTAACCAAATTTGTAGCAGTTTGCGTACTGCGCATGCGCAATGCGAATTTTCTGTCATGATACTTCTTAGATGATGAAATAAAATATCAAGAAACAGGAAACTTGATAAAAAAAAAAATAGAGAGGCACAGTGCTTTTCTAAAACTCCATAGATAACAAGTCTGTTTCGAGCTTCGGAGTACCTTCTTTAGGGCATTGTAAATTCGAGTTCCCATCTCATCAACACTGTCTTGGATCGTTCTTCCCACGCTTAACAGAGTCTAAAAAATAGTAAATATAACAGTCAAGTCTGAAAATCGTGAAATAAGATTTCGATAAATTACTATTCGATTCTACAATAATTTAGTTGTGAAGATTTCAAACCTAAATTCTATATCTCAGCAGTACATGGAAAGGGGAGTCAGGAGCAAACAAAGTTCATCAGTTCTTTTATTACAAATCTTCCACTGTGTCAATGTAGTACATATAAAAATCGAACTGGCAAAGACTTATTTGGTAAAAAAGAAATCACAAATTTTTCTTCTTGGGATGAAGATAACAGAAATTTTTGTCTTTTTCCAAAGAAACAGAACATTACATTATATTGCAACCTGCAACTAAAACAAACCTGAGTGAGACCAACTTCAGCGACTTGCTCAAGATTTGCTGCGTTGACCACCCCCTTGATAAAAGAGAGTCAAAAAACCACTTGAATAAAAAAACCAAGACTAAAGAACGCGATTAATCTTACTAGAGATACAGGCATTAAGACTGTTGACGGCAATAAGGTTTAAATTAATTCACGGAAGGAACTGAATGGCTTCATGCAGACCAGGGAGAGAGAGAGAGAGAGAGAGACATCAAAACAAAAGATACGGTACCGGAAGGTTGTGGAACGTGTACAAGTTGTTCCTGATCGTTGCCGTACAACGAGGCCTCCTGGGAAAGCCGTCCACCTCAATCAAGAAGTCGATGTGAGCCCGCACGCTAACAGGAAGAGAAGCAAAATAATACTGACAGCTCCGAAACAGAGACCAACAATTAACACCGATTTCCCAGGGAGAGAGAGAGAGAGAGAGGGGGGGGGGGCACTTCCTAGTATTGGGCTGATGAAGACGTGCGACTAGATAGGTCGAATTTTCACGACTGAATTGACTATAATGGGTTTACATTTTCAATAGAGTTACTAGAATGGGGTCGCACATATTGGGGATTCTGGGGGTTAGAAAATTCTGGTTAGTAGGGATTTAAAAATGGGAAGATTCGCGGTTAAAAACTGTTACCGCACTAACAAAAGATGGGGTGTATAATTCGCCACAGAATTGTCTATAATGGGGCAGGGGATTCTGAGAGGCCAGCAGCACTTACCCAGCAAAAATTAACCCAAGTAGCCCAACCCCTTCCCCCACCACATCCGGGCGCCCATCACATCTTATAATTACTGATCCCCATGAAATTCTATTGTTCTCTCTCTGCATTAAATCAACGATTGTAGTCTTTAAGATGACAAAACAACTGTATGAGGAAAACGGAGGCGGTCCTTTTTGTTAGCAGGGAAATTATCAGGGGTAATATAATTAAACGCGCTAAATAAGCATGCTGCAATATAAAAAATATTGCAGTGTGCAGGTTACAATTATTAAAAATATTGCTTCTTCCACTCCTCATAGGCTTTCAAAACCCACACGTCTNCACATAGGTGCGACTAAAATCGAAGATCCAACACAGACACAGAACAATAGGATTTCATGGGGATCAATAATTATAATAGATAATTACTTAGGCACATGGCATTATGAGAAATATTGCAGCCAGTAGGCCTCAGCTGGCTGCAATATTTCTCATAATGCCATATGCCTCAGTAATTATTAATTAATTAACATATTTCATGATAGGCAGTATGTAACAAAATCTACCACTATGGATGATAAAATAATCCCTTGTCCTCCTCTGGGACACACATAACTGGTCGAAAAAGCTCTGTTTGGGAAGTTCTTGTAAATAAGGAACTGACAACTTACAACTTACAACTGACTTACTCGATGTTTTTGGTCTCCAACGACAGCCATGCACTGAACTGTTTGTTTCTGACAATCAGAGCCCGAACTCCCTCGATATGACGGCATTCCTCATCACTCAGATCCTGAAGAGATCCGTCAGTTTGCACGTTCATAAAGCTTGTTTCGAAAACGCTCGATCCTGCACCAACACTGTGGAGAAACTCTGCGCTGTTAACTTGTTCCTTTATATCAGGCGATCGCTTAAATTGAACGTTGTCTGCTTTACTCGATTTATCACTTTTAGCAGGTAGCTCTTTTGTTACGCTGGAGTCCAACCGAGTTTGTCTTTTCTCCAATTTACTCTTTCCTCCGTTGGTGTTTTTTGGATTTTTTACGACACCACTAGTATCTGTTCTATCAGACACTTTATTATTAGAACTATAATCCTCTTCATCTCTGGTTTTACTTCTCGCAACCTCATCAGCGGCAGAGAATTTCTTTCCATCATTTTCTGATACGTTCGAATTTGGTTTTTCGCACCCACTGGGGTTCGCCTTCCCGTGATGTTCCTTACTTTCAGTTTCTACATCACTTGCTTCGCTTTGCATGGTGGAAACACTCTCGACAGAATTCCCTTTGAGATTGTTGTTGCCACTTGCATTCAAACCAACATTAACTTGTGTATTTCCATTACGTTTCTTCTCATTTTGCTCGAGAACTTTTGCATCAGAAGTGCACTCCGTGGGCGCGGTAGCCGAAATCTCACCTCCTGAAGTTTTCTTCATCAAAACTACCTCGCCATCCGAATCAAGAAGAGAACTTTTGGCCGTGGAAAGTTTATTTTCCTCGGCCTTAGTAAATTCAGTGGTTGACACAAAGCGCTCGACACCTGCATCGCTTCCAGCGCTTGTGGGGTGCGTCTGTTTGTCGGCATCCTCAGTGAAACACTCTGCATTGAACGCTTCACCTTTACGTTTCTTCCTTCCAAGATCTTCACAATTTCTGACACTAGGCAAGGATTTTTGGTCTTTTAGAGGAGGCGTGTGTTTAGGCCCGACAGGGACGCTTCCTTTTGGCTGCTCAAACAGTGATTCCGCAAGAAGACTGTCTCGAGTGTTCTTCGAAGGTGTCAGATAACCAAACTTAGAACCTGGATCGTTCTTGTTTAATAGAATAGACTCTCCTTTTTGCTTACCAAGCTTAACATCATTCGCAGTACCACTTCTGGCAGTGCCATCCTCACTTGGTTTATCAAAACCAGCGTCGTGTTTCATTGTTTTCGAACCAATCTCACAGCGTCCACCAGTATTCTCCCTCCTTAACTTAATTTCTTTCTGCTGTACATTTGAAGTCCTTTCTATATGGTTTGTTTTTCCTGCCAATGTCTTCGTACTGTCTTCACTCTGGGGGACTTTCTCCTCGGTTGTTTTCACAGTCTGTGTAGCAAAATTTGTATGAGTAACAGTTTTCATGACGTTTCTTAATCGAGTCAACGCCAAACGAGCCTCTTCTAAATCCTGCACAGTTTTCACCTCCGCAGAAAATTTAGAATTATTTAATCGGAAATTCCTTGCTTTTAATGATTCACTCATTGTTCCTTTTTCTTTCCAGATAGTGCGTTCTTCATCTTCGCCGTTTCTATCAAGGGATTTCGATTTTAGATCAGATTCCAGAGCGACACCTTTGTGTATTTCCTCTGCTTGCGGTGGAGTTTGTAATCCAGAAGTTCCGGCTTCTTTTTCCTCTATCTCATTTCGCTGGTTGTTAACTGACTTGCTCGAGTCTTCGTCTTTTGGTTGTTTTTCCCGTTCCTCTGTTGTTCCAGTACCGTCAGATGGCGAATCTCCTTCCTAAAAAGAGAAAAAAGGAAAGGTGTTAAGGATCTTTTACTTCAGATAGCAGTCCTTAGGGACTGATCATTATTTATCGCCTGGGGGGGAGGGGAGGGGGACGGAGGATTTTGGATGTGTCACAATAAGATTAACCTTACCCCCCTTAGGCTTTCTAGTTGTCTGATAACCCCCCTCTCCTCATTGGCAGTCAATTTTCAATAGCCCCCCTTTATACTCTGTTAGCAACCACTGATTCCTCCTTCGTTCCCCCCCCTGAAAATTCTGTGATTCTCCAAAATACTCTGACCCCACCCCCACCCCCCTGTAAATAATGACTAGTACCTTGGTAAGATACGCCGCGTAAATTCTCAAACTTGTGACTTAAAAATGGTTTTACGATAACGGTTTCCGATTGGTTGTTGTCATTCTCAGTTGTCACGTGCAAGGCAAACGCAACCTTCCCTGAGACGCCATCACTAAGGAACTTTTTCGGTTCCAGTCTCGCGCGTTATAATAATAATAATAATAATAATAATAATAATAATAATAATAATATAACAATAATAATGATAATAATAATAACTTGTATTTATATAGCGCTCATATCCTGAGCTCATGGCGCTTTACAACACTGTGCGGGGGACTTTACCAGACTGCTAAGCAGTTTACAATCAAATGAAGGCGAATATAACAGATGCCCC